ATGAGTTACGTGGATATATATATATATATATATATATATATATATATATATATATATATATGTATATATGAAAATCATTCCTATTTTGTGTGCCATATCAAAACATATTTTAAAGTTAATAACATATTTCCTCTAAATATTTAGAATATTTACATTTGCTTTCATAAAGTCCCTGAGATAACGATATCACGTCGTTTTTCCTTTTAGCCTTATTCACATTGTCCTTTTACAGATATACTCTATCTGAAAGTTTTACACTTTGCCGACAGGAAAATAGGAGCGATTACTAATATCCACACATAAATCTTTCTATAAATTGTATGAAAGAGAAATTTAGTTCTCAAAATTAATCAAAACCTTGCAACATATATTTCTTTTCGACGCAAAACGAATTCCTAAAAATCCTCAACACAAAATTAGAATGGAAAGAAACTTTTTTTTGATAAGGTACACACACAATATATATACATATATATATATATATATATATATATATATATATATATATATATATATATATGGTGTATCAAAAAATATATGGTGTATCAATATATATATATATATATATATATATATATATGGTGTATCAAAAATATATATGGTGTATATATATATATATATATATATATATATATATATATGGTGTATCAAAAATATATGGTGTATCAATATATATATATATATCAATATATATATATATATATATATATATATATATATATATATATATGGCGTATCAAAAATAGTTTAAAATCATTGCGGGCGGTTTCCCCACACCAACAGAAGGACAAACATCCATATAAACATATGTTCGTAAATATTTCGTTTTTGAATTATTAAGTTTAAAGTTTAAGGCAGACGCTGTTAAATGTACAATCCAAGATACAATTCAAAAATACTTTCATAAACTTTGGGGACGGGTTCCTGATTCTACCGTAAACTTTCTTCAAATAAATATTTTTAATAAATATATGCATATGGGACGAGCATTGTTAGCACTGTCGAATGACTGTTTCTTAAATAACATCCAGATTCAATTAGATATGCTTTACTATATATATAAACCCTTTATTCTGCATCCAATACCATCACTTGATAAGACACCAGCAGTGTTGAAACAAAATGGCTATTTTTTGTAGTGATTTTATAACATATTTATGTTATAATTTTTGCATAAATAATATACATATATATATATATATATATATATATATATATATATATATATATATATATGATAAAATATAGTTTTTAAGTTATGCTATATTTATGGGTAAAATTCATCAATACCAGTATATATATCGGCATAACCTATGTCTTTTACTCTATAATCGTTTAACTCTGTGTGGTCCTAAGACGTTGTAGTCATTATATATATATATATATATATATATATATATATATATATATATATATATATATATATATATATATATATATATAATTTATAGATTAATTTTTAAAACAATATTTTATTACTTTAAAAGTTATCAGTGTGTATTACGTCTATTGGCCGACGTATTCGAGAAATCCCAATTAGAAAATTTGACCCTCCCTTAGGGATCGAACCTGCGTGTCCCCTTTTTAGACTAAATCAGCGTTTGATCCGGTGTGCTTTACCATTCGGTTACGAAAATGCCATAGTTCATCAAATGGAAAATACTTCTTTGCTGAACGCTCTTCCTCCACTATAAAAGCTTTCGCAGCTTTGTTTGTGCGCGCGCATGCGTGCTTTGTTACATTTACTTGCATGGAACAAATCCAGATTACATTGTTACTTAGCATATGATCGTGTTTTTGCGTGTATTTATGTGTGTGCGTGTGTTTGTAATTATGTAAATATATCAGTTTGCGTGCTATGTGTTGGGACAATATCTTAGGGAGAGGGAGGGTTTAAGTTTTTTCATTCTTTTTTTTTATAAGACCCTTTAAAATAGTAACTGTGGAGGATAAATACACATGTTCATTAATTAGAAAATATTTCGCGTATTTTTGGAAAATTAAAAAGCAAATGTTTGGAGAATTGTCTTCCAGACCCCCAGACAAGCATTTTGCTATATTTGTTTCTTACCTACTTGTTATTAACACCAGTATTTTACTCTGTCTGCTTGAAATGACAAAGAAATTGTCCAAAGCCCAAACCTATTTGACATCTGGTGACAATTGAGAATGAAACGGAGATGGGGAGGGAACCCTTAAATGCCAAAGTATGTCGATAGACGGATAAAAATTGTTATAATTTTTACCGAGAAAACAAAGAGATAAATATACTAATAAAGATTATCTTTTATTAAAATATTATAAAATAATGAAAACGAAAATATGCTTATTAAAACATGCTTCTTTTATGTGCCGGGGAAACGGAAAATTCCAAGATGTGCAAGATCACCATCATATTAAGCATGTTTTACTTGCATCCGACACGCTGTCAGCGTTGCATTCGTTTGCACGCGTTGATTACCAGGACAGCCGTATTTTTCGTTACAAGACAAGCAAAGACTTTTAAATTTAGATTTATATATTTTTATACTTGAAAAAAATGTAAGAATATAACTTGAAGAAGACATTCTGTTGAAATATTGTTTAACATTGTCAAACAAACACTGTGTTTTTCCTTTCCTTATCTTAAATAGCGCTCTTCCTCTAACTGTTGAAAAATATCGGAACTTTTACGACAGTCATTTTGTTTAATAATAATAATAATAATAATAATAATAATGAAAGACAGAAGATCAACCAATGTCTACAAGGCTAAAATCAACAAAGATGTCTCAAATTTGATGAAGCTGTTGACCATATAGTATCAGGGTAGCAAGAATACATTATTAAACATGGCAGGCAAAGACAATATATTCATTGGCATGTCTGATCGAACTATGGTATTGGCATCCCGAATACATAGAATTTGTTCTATGTATTCGGGATGCCAAACACCAAGCGAATGATGTCGCAGACGGGCGAATTGATGCAAATCATAAAAGATTTTAATAAAGGTATCTGCCAAGTAATTGATACGATTTGCACAAAGAATGCCAATGTTTCCAAAAAAAAAAAAAAGATTATAGGGACCGGCAAATCGAAGTAACAAAATTAAGGAAAACTTAAAAGTGAGGTTATCACTGTTGTGATCTTGGCAATGGGTATGGTAAAGAAGGGTACCAAAAATCATATGAGCAAAATTCTTGGACACATCAGAAAGCAGCAGATGTAGACCAACAGAAAATACACCAGTGGCTTAGGAGTACCGGGTTGAAAACTGAGACCGAAGGCTTATTTATTGCAGTACAGGACAAAAAGCCTAGCAACCAGATCCTATCACTTTGACATAATCAAGGATGAAATTAACCCGAAATTCAGCATCTGCGGAAAATATGATGGATCTCTCGAACATATTATCTTAGGATGTCCTGAACTAGAAAAAATGAATATGCCCATAGTCATAACAAGGTAGTGACATATGTTCCCCGGAAGATATGCAAGAAGCATAAAATCGAAACAACTGAGAAATGGTTTGACCAACAACCAGACACAGTTAACCAAAATAACGATGTAACTATCCTCTGGGATATGCCAATTCAAACTGACAGGGGAAAAAAACCCCAACAAACCAGATATTATCATAAAAGACAAGAAATTCAGGAAGTGTGTACTTATTGACATAGCAGTACCATCTGAGAGAAACACCTTCATGAAAATTATCGAGAAATTGTTCAAATACAAGTACCTGGATATCGAGATTAACAGGATGTGGGGAATGAAGCCTGAGACTGTACCGATAGTAATCGGAGCTCAGGGTCTCGTGAGAAAGGGAATAGACATTTTTACTAACAGTGTCCCAGGTAACATCAACATACAAGTTTCTCATAAGATCGCCCTACTAGGAACATCCCATATACTAAGAAAAGTGTTATCAATTAAATGATAATTCTCCCATAGGGCGTAAAAACCATAGTTTGTACCCAGCTCTCCAGGATACAAAACAAGTAGCAACATAAACAAATGATAATAATAATGTGAATGATGCTGCAAATTCGTATTCTGGCGGTTTTGTAACAAATTCAAATAATTTTCAGCGGTATTATTGAATATGTCTATACATATCTATATATTACAACCCCTGACATGAAAGACGCAAATCGGGGTTTTTGATATATTTTCAAAATAAAATCACATATTGAGAGATAAAACAAGAGTGTATAATTTCTATAGGGCGCCCTCTAACCAAGAACATTCCTCGGAAGAATATATCCCACTTCTTTGTTTATTCCTTGTGTCGCTGAAAAAGCACACAGGTGTGTCCGAAAATTCCGACTTTAAATCTTTCTCTTCAATTTCGTCAAAAGGCTAATCTATAATAAATATCATCAAACTTATTGACAATATTGTTATCATTTTGTTGGCTTTTTATTCTTCAGATTTTATTAAGCGCTTAAAACGCGTGTCATGTTCTTAAATAATATTTTCAAATCGAGACTTTAATATGGATGTCATACATTGCACCACACACGTTCAAAAATATTTAAATTTTTAACTTTATACGAACACTTTCTCAGATCAGTGGTAAAAAATGACTTCGAGCTTAATACAAATAAATGTAATTTGTCACTTAACTGATTGATGCTATATTCATACATCAATTCTATTATTTCTCAGATTAATTTCTGGGGAATATTTAATCCACTATTTAGGAGGTTTGAGCCATTAACTGCCGTTTGTTTGATTCGTTTTTTACGGCTTATCAACCCTTTAGATGTTATTTAAAACCAGAGAATATTTTTACATTGTAAGAATTTGTGTGTGTGTGTGGGGGGGTATGTGATAATAATGGTTTAGACGTACAAGTTTTATTTACTAACCCACTTGCTTGTGGGACAAAAGAGATGGATTCATAGCTTTCCTAACAGTATTTGCGCGTATGTGAATATAAAAGAAAAACCCAACGGGAACTAGAGGTCGGCTCTCCGATTAACAAGTCTGAGCCACCCGCATATCTGAGCTTAGAGCACCTGGTATTCCCAAACGCTATCCATCTAAGTACTGACCAGGCTCGACGTTTCTTAACTTCGATGACCGTACGGAAACCGGTGTTTCAACGTGATGCAGCCATAAGCCGCAGAGGAACAAAGGAGATAGAGAAAGCGGGTAACTGAAAGAGGGAGATATAGATGCTTGTCTAATTGAGCAACGTTATCGATTACGCAGTTCGTCCCGCTGCTGTTCGGTAGCGTCGACTATTCCAGCGCAAGAGCCGGCGCTGTATTTCATATAACCAGCTTACTCGGCGTTTACGGACAAACAACTTTGTGCCCTCAAACAACAGAACAATTATGGAATTAAGCAAATGAAATAAGCAGATAATTGCCCTCCGCACAATATAAATGCGGGGTGGTGGTGATTTTTGTTCAGGTGTACACACTCATTTACACACAGTCACCTCCCTCTACATTAAAAAAAAACAGTATTGTCACATGACGATCTTGCAAGTTCACACACACACATACATACATACACATATTAAGAAAGAGAATGTAGAATAAGTAAGGATAAATTTAATCATTAAACAGCTAAATTGAAGTTTACACGGTAAATTATATCACGAGCTGGAATAATTTTAAAAAATGGGATTAATTCATGGCTATATATTTTTGACGAGTACTAGCAGTCTTAAATCAATACGGAGATTTTCAGATGTAGATTTCTTTTTATACACACCGACCCTTCTCATTTGTAAGGTTAAATAAAGAAAATAAATTATTCCTATAATTCTAGATATATACATAATTGAATCTATATATTCAGTTAAAGGCAAAATAAAATTCATCCTGGATAAGGGCTAAAAGTATAGTCGAAATCGTTTGGATATATAAAACACTCGGATAATTTTTCTATAATTTATGTCTTGAAAAGAAAAAAAAAAGTATTAGAACATATGAAAATTTTTTATAAAAACTTAACTACAACACCTCGTCAGTCGTTTTAACGAATCTTGCATAAAATAATAATAATAATAATAATAATAATAATAATAATAATAATAATAATAATAATAAACCGTCTTTATTTAATATAAGGTTTTTTAAAAATATACACAGACTTTAAAAATAAGGATGGAGACTCATCTATAAAATACTCTTCCGCCCACATCCTTAATTTATTTTTTTTCTTGACAATAAGAGGAAGTAAAACACACACACACACACACACACACACACACACACACACACACACACACACACACACACACACTCTCTCTCTCTCTCTCTCTCTCTCTCTCTCTCTCTCTCTCTCTCTCTCTCTCTCTGTATATATATATATATATATGTATGTGTCTGTGTATATATATATATATATTATATATATATGCGTGAAAAAAGAAAAATACAAAAAAACCCCCATAAAACAGAACAGTAAAACAAATCAACAACAATTCAATGAAACAACAGTGGTACTTGTGCCAATCCGCTCCCACCCCCTAAAAAAAAAAAAATGAAATCTATATACGTACACATATACAGGGTGTTGGTAGAAGCCAATGAGGAACTGACACCGACAAAACAAGAAAATACTTTAATAATTATTTATAAGAGCAATAAAAATTTACTGTGAATCCAATAAACATTATATTATATTTTTTAAATGACTACAAAGAAATAATTTTAATATTCACTGTATTTAAAGAGGCATTGCTGGCCAAATGCACAATATATATTGTTTATAAGCATTTTGGTTCTCGCCAGTCGAAGTGCAATTAAATGCACCGAAACGAAGTAGTGAGTATGTTGCTTTTGTCTATATGAAGAAATATAATAAATAATTATTGCTCTACTATCGGTAATTAGCCCTCTTTTGAATTAATGCTGTGAACGTTAGAATTTATATATATTTTTCGATCTCATTACATTCAGGTCCTCTCTCTCTCTCTCTCTCTCTCTCTATATATATATATATATATATATATATATATATAAACTTTAAAATTAGGAGGTCAGATAGAATACGCGACCTTGGTTTGGGATTAGCAGTGAGGTCGAAACCAAGGTCGCGTATTCTATCTGACCTCCTAAATTTTAAAGTTTAAATCTCTACATGTTATTTCTACCTTTATTTTTCACTCGTGTATTAAGCACTTTTTATACTAGTGTTTCCTGGTCTGATTCAATTCTCATTAATATATATATATATATATATATATATATATATATATATATATATATATATATATATATATATATTTATATATATATGTATATATGAACAAAAAAGAATAATTCCATGATTCCCATGTTTTTATATTTTAATTAAAATATTCACAAGCTTTTCCATATCTTAACAAAAGATTTCCTGTATTTAAAACTTGTCCAGGCAATTTGAAAAATATTCAACGAAAACCCGCTTCCCGCCAGTACCCTAGTATACACACACTCTTAACCACATCCAGTATACATCTTTCTCCATCACACCAAGGGAATATAACCTGCAATAAACCCCGATGCCAAGTCTCTAGACATCACTGATAGCAATTTCACATCCCCAACGGATTTAAATTGTTATAGTTCAAATCTCGTATATTTGCTTTTCTGCCTGAAGCGCCAACAAGATAACTCTGTGGGAGACACGGCTATAGAATTCCGACTTCGATTTAGCAACCATAAGAAAATCATAAGGGTCAACAACAATAATTTACAGTTGCAAAACACTTAAATCTATCGTATTATAACGCAGATGATATTGTCTGCGTGATTTTAGCGTCTTCGTTCAACGGCCGAGAGGCGAGACGTAGATCAGAGTTGAAATTTATTTTCAAAATAAATTCAAACATTGAGGGATTAAACAGGGATTTGCGCTTACACAGAAAATATAACTTCCTTCAACCAACAACATTATTCAAAAGAGTAAGTGCCACTTCTTTGTATATTTCTCGTATAGTTGAAAAAGAACACAGGCGTGTTCGAAAATTCCGACTTTAAAATTTATCTCTTCATGCTTCGTTTCAATCAAAAGTTTTATGTGTAATTGTTATAGAACGTACCTATGAACACTAATGGGTATGTCCCAATCTTCATAAATACGTTGGACACTATTGTAAGTGGGAGTAATATGCTAAGTAGTCCCCCACTAGCAGTGGTTTACCTACTTCGTGCCGCTGGCGAGTATTGTATTTTGTTAATGTTATGAAGATTACAATTTCATTTCCAACCTCCGTTTTGGTTATTCCTCATTCAGTAACATTTTCTATGTTACAACAGTAACAAATATAAATTTTATTGATAATATTGATATAATTTTTGGCTTTTTATCCTTAAAATTTCTTTAACGGCCTATTTACTCTACCTCCCTCTCTCGCTGTATATATATATATATATATATATATATATATATATATATATATATATATATATAGTATTTACATTAGTCGGACTATTGTCCTCATCTTTGTCGCCATATTTGTCACAACGTTTCGGCCGTTGTTGTACGCTCCCGGCTTTTCTTCAGGTGGTTGGAATTTCGAACTGAACCCTTTATTTCGATCGCTGGGGTAGACTGTTCTAATTCCACGTGCCATATTTTGATGGATGTCAGTTATCAGTTATCTCCTGCTAATTTTCCCTCTGAAAGTTCTCACTGCCTTAACCAGGAATTGAACTCACCTTTCTTTGGGTCTGTCACTGGATCTAACCAACGCCTTTATCCACTGTGCCATGTGTCATATATATATATATATATATATATATATATATATATATATATATATATATATATATATATATATATATATATATATATATATATATATATATATATATATATATATATATATATATATATATATATATATATATATATATATATATATATATATATATATATATATATATATATATATATATATATATATATATATATATATATATATATGCAGCATATCTTAATTCTAACATGTTTCATTAAATAATATAGATATATCAAATGTAAATGTATTCATACTTTGAATGATTAAAAAGTCAGTGTTTGTTAAAATACATTTCATTTTTTTAATTATTCTACCAAAAGAAAGTCGATAATGTGATTAAGACGGAAGAAGTTACTGAGTCTGAAAGAAAAGAAGAAGACATTAGTGAGGAGAAAAGACAGAGAAAGAACAGGCTTTAGGAAGACTGGAAACAATGTTTGATGTTACATTTAAATTTTAGAAGATCGTGGCTGTTTGGGAAGAATGAAAACCGAAAGCGAGTTCAACAGGTGAGAATTACTAGAGAAGAAACTTTTAGAATAGAACTTATGGTTGCATCTAGCTATTTTATCATGTAAAAAAAAAACTGGCTTCTAACCTGGATTTTAACTTAGTATTACGCTTAATAGAAGCTACAGACAGGGTTTTATTTTTTTCTGTCAGCATCGGTATTCAAAATGATGATCACATTAAGAAATAAAGATCAGTTATAAGCTATTCCAGGTTGTGTGTGTTTTCCGAGGAGCTGCATTCGCTGGTTCCCAGACTTCATGAATTCAAGCGCCCTACGAGGCTGGCATCCCGCTCTCACGCTGTCACTGTCGAAACTATTAAATGTAGCCGTCTCTTCTACTCCAATAGCTTCATATCTCGCACCTCTCGCCTGTGGAACTCCCTTCCCTATTCCAGTTTCCCTGAGAGCTATAATCTCCAACTATTCAAATGTAATGTCAATCGATATCTCCAGTTGCCTTGATCTATCCACTTTCCTTCTCCTCATCCTTTCCTCTATCACTCCTATCTGATCTTACTCCAAATCTTCTGTAACCCCTTGCGTCCTAGTGTCTTCCCACCTTGCTTGGGCTGCGCTTATATATATATATATATATATATATATATATATATATATATATATATATATGTATATATGTGTGTGTGTGTGTGTGTGTGTGTGTGTGTGTGTGTGTGTTAACGAATAATCTGAGAGGCCCCTGATGCCAACCTCCAGGAGAATAACTCATTGTGGCATCTCGGGCTACCATTGCCACAGACCTGAAATAGAAATATTATATTGAATCAATTGTTAGATCTGCTGCTAAGAAATTTGATTCACTATGTCATCTTAGCATTTGAATATTACCGT